GAAGAAAAAATTAAGAAAATACTGTTCTCGTATATATACATGTACACACACAAGCACACGCGCACGCACACGCACTCGCACACGCACTCACTCACGCACACACACACACACACACACACACAACACACACACCACACACACACACACGCACACGCACACGCACGCACACACGCACACACACACACACACACACACACACACACACACACACACACACACACACACACACCAACACACACACACACACACACACACACACACACACACACACACACACACACACACACACACACATACATACATATACACATACACACACAACGGATGTTCTTTCTCTTGCAAATATCCTTTCTCAAAAGGGTAGAATTACTCTCAGAGTAACTCTAAAACTTTAATACCACAGGACATATAACACACCGACGCTGAATCTCAAAAACATATTTAAAAATGTAAAGTCGCTAATGTGAAAGTAGAAATGCCGGGTAAAATCTTATAAACAAAATCAAAGAATACATTTTCTGTGGCAGATCTCACTGAGATTGGTTATAGATTAGACACGAAAAAAATAATGCAGAGAACATCCAATCGTAATTTAATAGCATTACTTGAAAAACCAGTCGTGAGAGTAAAGAAAATGTGAAATAAATTACAACCGTCCCCCTAAAAATCCCGTTTTCTACGAGAGACATTAAAGATGGCGTGACGCAAGGAAGGCGTAAGTCAGTGACGGAATCTCGTTTTCCTCCCAAAACCGAATGGATTTTAACGTCACCTTACAACAATCGGAGACTGAATATATTTCCCCGTAATTATAACTCTTTTACTTGTATTTATATCACGTACAAATTGGGGATACAGATTAAATACATCCTTAAATGCCTTGACTTATTGACTCCATGAATCGTGTTGACAGCTGACCCAGACCAAAACAATAAATAATAAATAAATAAATTTGCAGTATTTATCAACCGCCGCAGGCACTCTTGAAGGGGTAAGTAAGTTTGAAATAAAAGGGAAAAAATGGAGTGATACAGTGACTTACTGTTTTGTGGGGTTAAGTGGATAGATGTAATAATGTCTCGAGTCCTTCAAGAATTTCAATGTTTTTTTTTCGTTTTTAACTCATTTTCTTCATCATTTTCGTGAGTGAGAGTCCTGGGTTTATGTACAAGACTCCACTAACCTCTAGATGCCGCGGGGATGTCAAATTTATGTCGATATAAGCTCCAATAAATGGGAAAACACGTTATAATGAAAGTGAAAATACAATCCACAAATATCCAACTTTGAAGAAAAGTTTTCGCAAATTTTAAGTACATTTTAATTGATTCTGACTTGATCTTAGAGCAAATATTTAAAAGACACTCGTGATGCCTTGCAGAATGAGACAAATTTTGCATTTATGTTTTCTGTGTCAGTCCCTGTTCCATGTTCCTACAGTATCCATCTTTGTTCCTCCTATCTTTGTTTTTGTTTTGTTTGACGTGTGCAAATGTTCTTGAAGCTTGCTCACTGCTCGAAGGCCTATAATCCTTAGTCTTGCCTGACGGTGGTACGGTGTCAAGCGACTTTCGAGACGTTCATGTCTTCTGTGCTTGGTAAAAGGCCAAAAACTTCCTCCATATACATTTAGCGAGGAGGAGATCGTACCAGACCTCATTTAAAAACAGAGGTAGTTATCCTGAAAAGTATATGTCAGAGAGGCATCATGTATGTTCTGGCTGGATGGAGCATGGACCGTGTTCTTATTTGATGGTACGTTGCGTGCAAGTTCTGTTTGTTTGCCTTCGTTATTATTTGATTTATGATATACGGTAATTGCTTGTGGTTAATGATGAGTGCTAGTGGTTAATGACAGGTGCTTGTGGATAGGCCTTTACTTTATTCGGAATGTATTTTTTTTTTATTGTATCAGATTGTATTATTTCATGTATTCTCAGTCGCCATTTCTTTTTGCTTCCTTGCTGTGATTTTGCATAGTAACCAGGATAAATTACAAGTGATGTCTACAACCTCTATAATGCCAGAATATATATAGCGGAAATTAGTTAGCTTTTACAACAGTGGTGGACTTGTAGCTGTTTCTGAATCACTAACCTACAAAGTATTGCCATGTGTATTTTGGCAGGGTAGAGCTTCGTCTTGTTCCTTATTTGATGATAAAATGCCAGCAGGGTCTTCAAATTTTGTCTTACTGTAGAATATAGGTGGTATGGATACTATAGCGGACCACTGATCAATGCCAAGTGCAGAGACATAATTTACTTACGGTGAAGAGTATCAGATTGTGGGCTTATGTCTCCTGTGCAAATATTCTTTTTTATACTTTATAGTGTTGTTTTAAATTTTCTTGGTTAATGTTTATGGTATGGATGCACTAAGTTAGGGCAAATTGAATATGATATTCTTGCATAGGAAAAAAGTTGCAGTCTTCGGTACAAGAAATAATCTGCAGACATGAACAGTAATGGCACAAATTACAGAAAAAGGTCGCAGAAAATGCCGCTCTCAGCATAAGTTCACTTGGTGCTCCTGAGTTTCAACTCTGTCTTTCTGTACATAAGAGGTGAAGACAGTCTTTCCTGGGGGGTGTTGGGGACCAGAGCCCCCCCCCCCCTATATCACTGTTTGTATACTCAATGAATATGGTAATTATTATGAATATTATAATTGAATGTTCAATTTTATATCCAAATTGAGTTAATTCTACATTTCCTGCTTTTACAAAAGATAATTTTTACATCATCCAAGAAATCTTAACCATTCACAATACTTGAAACTTCAAATAATTCTGCAAATGGGCATGGTGGGCATTATCTTAGCTATCGTGACTCAGGCTCATGATTTGATTGGACATAACCTGGTGAGAATGGAGTGAGTTAAGTGTTTTTTTTTTTTTTTTTTTTTTTTTTTTTTTTAGTTATTTACTACTTAAGCCTCATTTACATATAATTACCTTGCTATTGAGATTTTGTTACCCAGATTATAACACTCCTCCTTAACAGCCCATCAGAAAGGATGTTATATTCAGACTAGGTTAGAGGGTGAGGGAGAAGGAGAGGGAGAGGGTGACAGTGAAATTGAGGGATAACATTTATATTATTGTGTTATAAATTAATTTGAATTTTATCTTTATTATTTATACTTTTTGGATACATTCTATTCTTTTAGCAGTTTTTACACCAGTACATTTCTCTTCATACTTATGTAACATTGTAAGAATTTAATGCCACTAAATGTAGGATAAAACTCCAATTACCAATTTTTTTTTAAGGGGGGGAGTGAATTCATGTAATCTCCGTGGTACCCCTTGGGTCTAGGGTACATCTTGGTTTTGTTGATTTCACTGAGCTGTAATTTGATATTTTAATATGCGTTTGTAATTGTTTCATTGAGTTACATTATGATTGTGTGTTGGTTTTATGGTTTCTTTGCACAGAATGGATGGAAATTTAATGATTATCTATAAATTATTGATTGGGGAGAGTCCATCTTACCCTAAAGCTTTTGTTTTTATCAAGATTTAGATTGTAATATAAATGATCTGTTTTTCTTGAATACTGCTTTGTGTAAATATTGAAAAATGATTGCCATAAAGATAAAAATTTATTTGTAACCCAGGAATGATTCCAGTTATGAATGAGATGAGTCAAAATATAAAAGTTGATGCTGAAATGATTATCGAGAATTTTTTTTGATGGAGTAGAAAATTACTGCTTCATTCTGTAGATGACATAGATGATTAGAAAAGATTTATTGTAGGAAAAAAAAAAAAAAAAAAAAAAATTGGAGCAGCAGTGAATATATTTTTTGTTGTTACAGTTTTTGTCCTAGCCTGATACTTTATTTAGGATTGAGGATGCTTGCAAGGAAATTGTGTAGTAACTGTAATTTTTAAGTGGAAAGTCAGCAAATGCTCTGTTATTGGTGATTTTTAATATTTTATCAAACCTAGTATAACCTGTTTGACATCATTTATATATATATATATATATATATATATATATATATATATATATATATATATATATGTATATATATATATATATATATATATATATATAATATATATTTATGTATATTTATATATATGTTTAATATATATTTATGTTATATATATGTATATTATATATATATATATATATATATATATATATATTATATATATATATATATATATATATATATATATATATATATATATATATATATATATATATATATATATATATATATATATATATATATATATATATATATATATATATATATATAATATATATATATATATATATATATTATATATATATATATATATATATATATATATATATATATATATATATATATATATATATATATATATATATATATATATATATGTATATTTATATATACTGTGAAATTACTGTGTAATTATTATCATGGGTTATATAGTTGGTAGAGTGGGGGGCGTGGCCAGGAGGCTGGGGAGCTGAGGGTGTCAGTGTGAGAGGAGTTTTAGATTGGATTTTAGCCTGGTTTGGCAGGAATTTTTATGGAGCAGCTTGGAATCCTTGTCTTATCAAGATGTATGGCACAATAGTTATAGTGTCAATGATGATATGTTTGATGTACAATAGTAATGATATTGGTGTGTGTGATAATGAGGAAAAAGATGCTTTAAGATTAACTGTGTAGCAGAATTGGCCAGTATGTATCATATATGGAAGCTTAGATATGTATAGAAATTCATCTTTCCTTGAAAGATTATTTATATATACAGTATTCATTAGTAAATCCCCTTTGACATCTTGCTTTTTCACTTCTTAGGGTAGACATAAGCACCAGAAGTTTTAGAAAATTATATGAGGAATTTGCTTGATGACTAGCCTTTATTATTAACTTAATGACAAATGAATTTAATGAAAGAATATATATATTATTTGATCCTTCCACTCTGAATGCTCATTCTTGAAACTTATGATATGTATGCTTGCTTTTTACATTCTAATGATTGTGGTTCTTTTGATAAACAATATCAGTGATTTTTCTGGTTCAGCTATTGAAAACTATATTTAGGTATGTGAATCATTATGTGCAACATCTTTTTTATCTTCCATGAGAAAAACCTTATTCTTTTCATATATTTGTTATTTTAAAATGTAGCACAGTGTGTCTTACTCTCATAAGCTAAGATGTACAATTTCATAATAACGTAAATGGTAGCCTACATGCCACCCTGGACACACATACCATTAGGTTTACACCCATGCTATAACTGGGATTCTGCTAGCCTCATCTGTCATTGGAACCAGACTCAGATTGGGGATTATCACCTGTTTTGGTCAGCCCAGGCATCCTACCAGAGGAACTAGGAGAGCCAGATGTGGAGAATATTCTTTGCCAAGAGCTTATTACATTTTTGCCAGTAGTGATGATCTGTAGTAAATGTCGTCCTAGAAATTTTTTGTGTATTACAGTTCTGACCATTAGGAACGTTCTAAAGTCAAGCTTGATTATGATATAACCAAAATAGGAGCAAGTTGACTGAAGGAGGCTTAAGCTAAGGTCACACTAGTCTTATCTGTCCTGGGATGCCTAGACAGCCTCGCTGAAGACAGGACAGCTGACCAGTCAAAAGCTGTAGCAGGTAAGAATTCGCCGAGGCTGTTTAGGGATCCCAGGACAGAGAAGACTAGTGTGACCTTAGCTTTAGGGACCAGATTGAGTTTGGAAAGTGCAATCCAGGTTTCATTGTGAGTAGAATACAGAGGTGAAATGTAATGTAGAAAGATTCAGTGTCTAATAGAGAAAAATCTTGCTTACTGTTGCAGATGATCGAGGGCTGTGAATGAGTACACTTTTGCTGCCATGGGAGACGAACCACCCCCACTGCCACCCAAGATGAGGTCTTCGACAGGTGTGCGCTACACGGAGCAGGACATGGCCAAGGCTCTGGAGGAGGAAAACAAGGAGTATGAGAGAATCAGAAGGGAGCTCGGGCGTTCTCACTCTCAGAGGCAGGCTCCACTGAGGGAGAATGGACTCCATGGTGAGTGAGGGAGTCAGAGGGTGTAACTGATTGAATACTAATGTTGGTAATTTATCATTAGCATATCTAATTCTAATAATTAGGTAGGAGAAATCGTGGAATCTCTCATTGATATTTTTTCTTTCAGATGCACCGAGGTCTCAGACTCCTACTGAAAGGCACAGTAGACCAGTAGAAGTTAAGCCAAGGCCTCGACCAGGTAACAAGCCAGCCCAGCCTACACCTAAGCCACGCACTATTAGCCTCACTCAGAACGCCCCAAAAGCACCTGCCAAGTCAAGATCTGCCTCGCAATCCATGTACAGCCATTCACTCATTGCTGCAGAATCGGTTTCTGTTAGTAGGGCCTCCCCAACCAGCACAATTGCAGAAAGTGGTAATGATCAGCAAGACTTGATATCTTTCAATAGCCCTGAGAAACCAAAGAATGACATCCTGGAGTATCTCCATACTATTAATGCAAACCAGAAGTCAGTGGTACCTGTGTCTACTTCTCAGGGAACGTACAGAGTGCACAGTATAAGTAGACAAACATACAGCTCTCACCATTCAACTTCTGTGGGACCAACAGCAAGTCTAGCAACATATCAAGGTGCCATGACTCCAATGTTTTCTGGCTCTCAGTGTCCAGCAATCACTCAAAATGGAACTTCTTATCCCAACTACAGCCCGACATCCACAGGAACCTCATACAGACCAACATTACCTACAGTGCAACCTACAACTAGTAACCTTATCCTCAACTACCCCAGTAGCCTTGGACAGTTAGTACCAGTGATGCCGCCCTTACCCCAAAGATGCCCAGTGGTTGACCTTCACAATGTAGGAAATATGTTTAGTCAGCTGACAATGCCTAAGGGTGCAACAGGTTCCCCAGTGGGGACGCCAACCACTGCTGGGGTAACACTACCAGACCCAGCAATAAGTGCCTCTTCTGCTGGAAGAATTGTCAGTGCATCCAACAGTGATGATCTCATTGACTTGGGGAAGGGGGGGAGTTTTACGGATAGTGTAGATGCCTTAGAAACAAAAACCAGTGTCTTAGATGTGTTCGATCCCATTATGCTTAAAGCCAAAGAAGAGTTGAGGAGAAAAAATAATTCTGCTTCCAATAGTGTAAGTAGTAAAGAGCACCACCCTGACCCATCTTGCGTCCCCATCAGTGACGAGGCCCAGGAACTACTTCGTTACAAGTGCTCCAAAAAGCTTAATGATGACGAGATGAGCTACTATGAGCAAGTGGACCCCTTTGAGTACATGCACCCTGGGGCAAGCAGCACGAGGTCTGACCCAGTCTATGACATTTACTATGGCCTTGTTAGTCCTGGTGCTGTAGGGGGAGAAACATTCGATATCCCTCCACCTCTTCCACCACGCTCATCTGTCAAGGAGCCTGAGGTGGAGCTGCGGAAGAGTGTGCGCAGTCCACGTGCAGAGAAGAAGTTCATGGAAAAGGTAAGCAGAAG